ACCTGGTAATTTATACTTTTTCTACTTTCCTAAAGCAATTTCAACCTCAGATGGGCTAGGATCAGGTATTAATGGCTCAGCTGTATGTATATCTATCTGCCTAATGTCACTAATCCTATGTACATTCAATAACTGAGAGAAGTAGTTCTTCCACCTATCCAAATGTTGCGGGAATCTGCAAGATCGCCATTCTCATCCTTCACTAAGTTACTTCTAGGTTGATAACCCTTCTTCAAAGTCATTTATTTCTCTATACAGGTCTTTAATATTCTTGTTCTTACTGTTTGTCGCAAAAGAAATAAAAACTGCATGGCTTGAGTCTGCAAGCAGACCACATCTGTGGTCTAGTGGTCAGAGTTCCTGGCTACAAATCCAGAGGTCCCGGGTTCGATTCCGGGCGCTACCATATTTTCTGAGAAGTAGTGGGTCTGGTACGGGGTCCACTCGGCCTCGTGAGGATAACTGAGTAGCTAATTGAAGGAACTAGCAGCTCTGGTCTAGAAAACAGCAATTAATAGCCATGGGGATTCACTGTGCTGCCCATGCGACAACCTCTATCCACTAAAGTTGGCACTAACTTACCCGACTAGTGGCAGTCGCTCAGTTGGTCTGTTTGTTTCAAGCTCATAAATTTTGTCTTCCATAGAAAATACCCACATAAAAATAAAAATCAACATGTATACATATCCAGCATTTACTTGTGAGAGTATATATGAAATCATCATAACCATCTCCCACCCCCAAAACTGAAACAATTTAAACAATTAAGTGTGTGAACTTAAAGATATCAAACAGAAAGGACGTCACATTAATTCCTTTAAGATCCAAGCGAAAGCAAGATGTCATTAATGTGCATGAGAGAGAGAAAAAAAAAAAAAGAACAGCCAGTATCATGCAGTATACATTCCATCAAGAATTCATGAAGCACTTAAAAGCCATACAGCCAATGCAGTGTGCATGCTTTTACTAGGCATTAAGGCATTAACATACAAACCCCAAGGCAGTTTATCACCTAAACTGGGCTATAGTAATCCCTGCCCAATCAAGATTATATTCCTCATTTCACAAGGCTGTGACAATCCAGCAATTGGTAGGGATTGAGGATTATGATAAGATCGGGGTTTTAGGGCAGACCTACAAAGTGGGTTAAATGTAAGTATCCTATATTTTAACCTTTAGGATGCTGAGTCCATTATGTAGCAACACAGCATCCTTGCTAATCCTACAAGAGGTATGAATTTAGAAACTATTTTTCCAAATACACTCACCTCTCGATTATCCGGGATAATGGTGGGGATGGAAATCACGATTAATAGAAAACCCGGTTAAAACAAATTTTATTAGAAGTAGTACTGTAATACTGTACCTTCATAATTACTATAGGCCTACCTGTATTTAAATTTATTCAACCTCATTTTTATGTCATCTCATGGCCTATTTAATACTTTTTTTACATTACACTGGAGTATGAATTAATTATTTCAATCATAGTGTTCAACAACATCCAACACTTTTTACGAATATTCACACTTAACACCTAAAATATTAATATTGTCATTTGCTTTTTCGCAGCATTTTCCTTTTTATGGATATCCGTACAAAGCCTACGTAATATTAGCTTGTCACTTAATAGACTGTTCGCTTCACTCTCAAGATAGCCTAGTAAGGATTCCAAATGATTAAGAGCAGCACCATATGATATTTTCTTACTAGCAGCACTGTCCACTTCTCCCTCATTTTCACTTTCTTCCCGCTCTTCTGGCTGCACCCCCACTGAACTTACGGTTTCGTCACTGCTTAACATTTCAAAGCCCGGCTCACACAAGTTTCTGTTGAATACTTAACACAACACGCTTCCTTTTACACCCTGACATTTTGCTAACACACTTGAAGATCGATACAAAGAGACTAATTGGGGTGGTGTATCTGTCCTTGAAACTTTCCACAAATCCTTGCATTCTTTCACCCCTACCCTAGAACATTGTGTTAGCATAACGGGAGCAGAAAATGCAGAGCTCGGTTCACACGAAACTAGTGTTACAACTCACCATGTGAAACAAAAGTGAATGAATATTAAACAACATATAAGCCTCAAAAAAAGCCCCGGTAGCACTGGTTAAGCCGCAAACCAGTTTATCCACCACCGGATAATCGAGAGTTGAGTGTACATTCAAAATTGCTGGTATATACTTCCACCTACCATGACAATGATTAAATTCATGCGAGATTTCTCTGCTGCCTCTGCATGTCATCTGCAGAATTCAGAAACTGCTTATCTAGCCGCGTGGTTACTCTGCACTATGTACTGTCTACTCATGGTCATCATGGGGATAGTGCAAATGACATCCACAAATGTTCCAAAACCATTTTCATAATATGAGAGTGAGTATATATTAAATTAATTTGTACGTGATTTTTCTAGATTTCCATATTTAAGGGGAACAGCAAAAATAAATTAACACAGGAGGTATGGCTGGACACCAATCAGCAGTGAAAGGGTTAAAAAAACATGTTAGTTCAAAGATACCATACAGTAATAATATGACATAGATCAGTAATAATAATGTTGGTAATCAAGAGGGACTGGGGTCCTGCAAAGTCTTCGATCTCTCAGTGGTGTCAAAGAGAAGGGATCTTCACCCACATCTCATTTCAATCAATTAAAAGTCAGACATGACTGCAGGAACATACAACAAATCCTCAGTATTCAAAGTCAGCAAAATGGTAAGCAATTTACTGACAAGAGATATTCTAAAGTGAATATAAGGTATGTAAACTGGCACACAACTTAACAATGGCACATACTCAAAACTGCACCTGGTTAGCAACAACTGTATTTACAATCAAATATGACATTACACATCTACACCACCAAGGGAATACTGAAGTAACGGAGTTTATTACTGAACCAATCAATAATTACAGAGTATCTTAAATTGCAATTTTAGGCATAAAGTGGTATCGACACACAATGCAACACTTGCAATAAGCTTAGAAAACTATAATACAGCACATTAGGTAGCTCCCAACATCAATGAATATAAGTGATTGAATATATTTTCACCACCTTCTCATGAAGTTCTTTGCTAGAAATTACAATACAACCATGAGATAAATGAAGCATTATAAAGGCTAAAGCTGGCATTAAGAGTAACATCTATGTTATAAGAAGACATGCACAACATAAAGTATGCAAGCACAAAGAGAAGAGTGACATACATAAAGTAACATACACTACACATGGAAAGAAATAATTAGTACTGAAAATAATATAACAAGAAACTATTATCTATATCATAACCTTTCATGTATGAAGCAGATGATTTCAAGAATACCAAACAGCTGCTTTCATGAATAAAACAAGGGACTACTTTTCAGGTGAGAACAAGTTTCAATCTTGGAATTTCTTTACTCCTCTATGCTCTGAATAAACTCAGGGTGTATCTAGATATTTTAAACCACATGTTCAAATCTGTTCAATGAGAGATTTGAGGTTACTGTCTTCTTTGATGTGGCACTGTGTAGTCTGATAGGCGTTTACTGACACTTCAGAGGAACACCAGTAAATATCTACCAGACTACATGGCATCACATCCCACAAAACAGTCACCTTCATACATGTTTTTGGAACATCCACAATAAAATGTTATTTAAAACTAACTGAACATAAAGGAAATTAAAAATAGGTAATTCCCGCTTGAAGACTGTGAGCATAAAGGTCTTATAGCTATGTTATGCTGCACTACACAGTTTTTAACATTTTGCCTAACATATGAAGTAGGAAACCTGTTACAATCATGCAGGAAGAATGGAGGAATGAGAGGCATCTTCTCTCTTCTGACAGACTGATGTCAACGCATAAAATATATTTTATAATATCCAGACTATGGTGTCTTGTACTTTTTAACACCAATCATTTCCAATATAAAACTGCAATAAGTCTGTTTACAATTTGCAAGCATGTCAGTATCACAAACACAATCTCACACAAATCTCCTGAAATAGCACACACATCATTACCACCTGCAAACAAAATTAGTTAAAAATGCAAGTAAAATATGTAAAAAAGCAACATGACACAGTACCTGAAAATTATGAACATAAGAAACTACATTATATTATATAAAATGCAGTATATACGAGTAAACTCTCATTTATTATGCCATGTCACATAAACCGTGGCAAGATCTGGCAAAACCAATAATAATGGGACAAGTATTTTTTTCTCAAATTCTGTTTTATTATCTTTACTGGAGAAAACAAAGTGTCCACCTTTCAAAATAAAGCTGCAACTCAGAAGCCACAATCCAGATATTCTCTGAAATAACGTGGTCCTACTGATTCATTATTCTAACACATGACATTCTGATAAAAAAGTCACCACCCCCAAAAAAAATTTAATCTCTCACCTCTTTTTACATTTGTTTTATATTCAAACTGGCCACTATTTCCTGTCAAAAAATTCTGATATGAATGAACTTGGAGAACAAAGAAAGGGTGAAAGATAAATCTTTCTCCATCCAGTTGCTAACTATTCCACCAAATTACATTACATATACAGATGGCAAATTTACCAGACTACATACCATCACATCCCAGCAGAACATAATCTTACTACTGCTCTAAACCAGAATGAAAACACTGACACATCATGCTTCTGTCTGCACTTCCATACAGCAAACGTAACTCAATTCAAATTCAATCTTCATAAATCAAACACTTTCTACTACAGACATTTGGTTCCAGGAAGTTCTCTTCATTACAGCACATGAAAATATGAGCCTATGCTTTTAACTGCTGATGGAAGATACGTAATTTCACACAAGACATCACTATTCCAAGTTACAGTTGTCATTGTACTTATTTAGCTCTCCACACTATTCTTTGCAGCAGCAAAATTCTCATGCCAGTAATAACTACTTGCAATAGGCCTCGTACCAACATGTGAGATATTGACCCCACAACTAAACCAAACCTCTCACGTTGGTTACAGTACTTACCAGCTGTGTTCTCTGGGTGATATTCCAGCTGAGGCAGGAGAAAGCATGTCAGTACTTGTTCCCCTGTTTCCTCATCAAGGTCTGTCTGAAACTTCAGCATGGGTTGAGCCTGATTCTCAGACAGCCACACAGCCTTCAAATTCAAGTTTGTCAATGAGAATGGAAGGTACTGCAACCTGAAAGATTAGATTCCAGAGCAGGGCAGGATACTTAACATACACTTGAGTTGGCTGCCATTTCAGTTCCATAATATACGCTACATCAGTGGTTCCCAACCTGTGGTCCGCGGACCCGGGAGTCCGCGAGTAATTCGAAAGGGGTCCGTGGGATAGTTTATTTTCATTAAACTTAATCTTATCATGTTCCTCACACCTGGGATATTTGCAATGTATATCTCTGGCTCTTGAGGCCCATGGTTGAAGTAAAATTTAACAGGACTGTTGGTACCGTTACTTCTTCCTTTTGTAAAGCAGAGGTGAATAACCAACGATTTGTGTAGCTTTTTCCAAGGACATTTTCTTTTGGTCAGCCCATTGCATCTCAGACCTGTGTTTCAGGGTGGACTGTTGTCCTTCTTACCTGCTGTCTGACCATTCTCCCCCTCCTCCCCACCAAATCCATCCCTCTTTGCTTGGGAATAAAGCTGGGACCATTGACCACATTCAGTGGCAGAGTGAACAACCTGTGTGTCATTAGTTTGTGTGTAGTGAATTTTTTTAATATTATACAAGTGTGTTTTTCTTGGTTTAATATTCAGTTTTTCTGCTCTTGTTCAAATAACTGAGTTCACAACGAAACTTCTGATTTTCAGTTTGTCCAAGATATTTTATTGGTGGTTAAAGTGTGGATTGTTGAAACGTAAGACAGGCGATATGAGTGGATCTAGTGTTGCCAAAAATAGTACTAGTGCAGATAAAGTTCCTTCCCTCAAAAATCACGCAAATATTGTCCATCCTATTTGCAAATGGGTTTTCTGTTCTGAATAAAGACAGTGAAGACAGACCACAGTGTGTTCTTTGTTGCGAAGTGTTATTGAATGAATCTATGAAACCGTCGAAGTTGAGATGCCACCTCGAAACGAATCAGTTAATAAGCCAATAGAATATTTTCAAAATAAAAAACTGCAACTTTGTGGTTCACAAAATATAGTTAAGGACATTGTATGTGGAACAAAAAATGAAAAGGCTGTTCCTGCCTCTTATGAAGTCACCCTTTTGATTGCTAAAAATGGACAATGCCATACAATTGGGGAATATTTAATTTAGCCTGTGACAAAAACGATAACAAAGAACCTGTTTAGTGAAAAACATGTCAACAAGGAGTCTCTAATATCGTTATCTGACAATACTGTAAAAAGAATAATCAACGAGATGGCTCAAAATGTGAAAGATATTTTGCTAGAACGGTTACATCGTAGTGACTACTTTGAGTTGCAGTTGGATGAAAGCCATGATATTTCAAATAATGCTAATTTGGTAGTTTTTGTGCGATATGAACACGAAAATAAAGTTTGTGAAGATTTTTTGTTCTGTGAATCATTAACTCTTAATACAACTGCTGAAGCCCTTTTCAAAGTTGTCAATGACTTCATAACTATAAATACACTTCAATGGGAAAAATGTGTAGGTATCAGCACAGATGGTGCCCAGGCAATGTCGGGAATACATAAAGGTTTGGTTGCACGTATCCAGGAATTCGCACCTCTTGTTAAATGGACACATTGTTGCATACACCGCGAAGTACTAGCTGCATGCCATATGCCCTCCAAAATGAAAACCGTTCTAGATGAAGCAGTAAAAATTGTGAATTTTATTAAAGCCTGTCCTCTTAACAACTAGTTATTTTCTGCACATTGTAATGAAATGGGAAGTGATAACGAACACTTATTATTGCACTCATAAATCCGATGGCTGTCCCGGGGTAAGGTTTTGACACGGTTGAGCTTCGTGGCGAAGTAAGGTTGTTCCTCATAAACTCCAAATTTCAGTTAACACACTAATTAAATGATTTCGCATGGCTCTCCTCTCTTGCTTAATTGGCAGACATTTTTAACATCTTGAATACTCTTAACTCGAGCCTTCAAGGTACATCTATCACTGTGTTTTCTGTGCAGGACAAGATAGAGGCAACAATCAAGAAGTTAAATTTGCGGTGCAACCATATCAAGAAAGGAAAATACGATTCCTTTCACACGCTGAGTGATTTCATTGATTTCAGTGAACAACCCCTTTCTAATTAACAATCAAGTTCCTTCCGTCAAATGTGACACTTTTTTAAGTTTTCCACCTCGTCACCACCTGCCTTACATGTTTCGGCTCACCACGGAGCCATCATCAGAGGCATTTATNTCAACGTTCAAAATGCTGTTTCCTTTGTTACCGTTACTGGAGTTTTGGTTCCAAGCTAGGTCTGTTTACCCTGAAATTTCCAAAAGGGCTGTAAGACATCTGTTGCCATTTTCCACTACATATCTGTGCGAGACAACATTTTCTCATCTTGTACACATGAAAAACAGATACAGGAACAGACTTAACGTGGAGCTAGATTTACATCTGAAATTATCCAGTTTTGATCCTGACATGCGAAAGTTGACCTCTGAAAAACAGCACCAGCCATCACATTAGGTGAGTGTTAAATTCATAATATTAGGCCTAATTTATATGTTCATAATCTTCCGAATAAGCTCCATTTATAACAGTATTTTATTGTCATAAATGACACATTTAGTGTTGTAAAATTGTAAGTTACTGCTTCACTTTTATATGTAAAATATAAAAAATTTCCATTTTGGGTTTTATGGGGGCTGCGGTGAATTAACATTCGGTACAGGGGGTCCGCAGCATGAAAAAGGTTGGGAAACACTGCTCTAGATTATCAGTGCACACATTATTTGGTTTGCAGACTGTCCACATGCAATACTTCATTGTATTTTCTAATCAATGTGCTATCAAATTCTATGCTCTTGGGGATGATCAATTAATGATGACCTAAGACTTCTTCCAAATGGTAGGTTGGTTTCCAATGGCTGCATTTGAGATCATTTAACTCATTTTGCTTCTTGCTTCCTAATAGAGGGAACTCAAGTTCTTGCTTTGTTGCACCTTGAAGAAGTTTGCACTTGTAACCTTACAATGCAAAGGACTACAATGTTTGTTTACATGTGTCGGTACTTGTCACTACATCAAAGCAGAGGTAATACCTCACACCCCACTCCAACCAGGGGGACCTGAACCCAATTGGCACTAAGGGAAGTCAGGCCTCCCTCATACCCGAGCGGGTATTTTGGGATGAGAGGAAATTCTAAAGAACTAACAGCTTGAGAGTTTCCTTACGCAGTTCCGAGATGGTAAAGTTTATGACGGGTCACAATCCTCGGACTAAAACCAAACCAGCCCAACACTCTCCCTACTTTTAGAAAGAGCCATATGCTCTAATAAAAGAGAAATCTGTCCAAAAAGACGCTGGAGAGAACCTTTTGTCATGTAGAGAGATGGCCCTCTGACCGGTCATAACTCGCCAAATGTTAAAACCTGCTTTTAGAAAGGAGCGGCGAACTGTTTCAATAGTCGAGGAAAGGGACCAATTTTCAACACCCGATTTGTCATGGCAGTCAAATGTTTTAGGAATCCGAATGTTACCCGCTATCTTGTAGTGGAGACCTTCTGAATATCCTTTAGCGAATCCCCCCTTCATTCAAGTTCTAAATACCATACAAGAACCTTTTTCGGTGCAGCGTAATGAATATGACAATTTAGGCCTCAAATTCATCACGGACATACCCTTAGAAGACCATGAGATTGAACCCCCTCAATCCACCCTGGGTCAGAAATACTGTGAAAGCGTGTGAACCCAACTTTTGCCGCGAAACAGCTGACCATTGGAGGAATGAGAAACTCCATCGAACCCTCCCCCCTATTGTTTAAATCCAGCCAACCCGGAGATTTGGAGGATGGCAATGAGGCGTTCCTCAAATTTTTGCAAGGCCTCTGAATCTTCAAAAACAGAGAGTTTGTTCTTTTAAGAAGTCTCGTAACAACAGTTAAACTCACCGGACGTGGAGCTAGCCCTCTCGATCGACTGTTAAGTGAAAATTGAAAAAGAAACACGAGTGCGAACTGGTGACCCTCTCAAACACCACACACATAGTGGTAGCGGTAACCTGTACAAGTCCCCAAGTGCTCCACAACAGTGCTAATGGTGCAAAGTGACAAGGCTTGCAGGAGTGTGTAACCAAGTAACGACAACCCGTTCATTTGGTAGAATCCGAGCTCTCCTGTACCGAGTGTAGTAAAGTAACAATCTGAGTTGTATCTCAGTGACGCCCAGATTACAAACCAATAAAGGAAGTGGTGCTAAGTGTCTGTGTTTCCAGTGTGTTCTTTTCTCCTTCTTTGGAGTAAGGCCCTAAACGACCTGAGACAGAGTCTAACGCCACCCACGACTAGCCCAACCACCATCAGCTCCCACCCCGTCCACCTTTTCCCTTCACTTCGCAGCTGTATCCACAGTTGCTGGCGCCCATAGACAAATCAGACCAAGTCCCGGACGTGATACCCCTTTCCATGGTGAAGAGAAGTGGTGGAGTGGGAGAAGCGGTGGAGCCAGGTAAAGCCGACCTAGCTGCAAGCTCAACGACCAACGACGGCAGCGATGAGAACGACAAGAGAAAGGAAGGATGGTAAAGAGTAGCGACCAACCGGTGTGGCTAGAAGCTTCACTGGGTGGGACGGTAAGACACTTTTCTTTTGGTAAGCTTTGCCAGGTTTGTTGCTCATTTTGCACTAACCAGGGTACACGTATGACTTAAGAGAATGTCACGGATGTGAACAACTTTGTCCCCCCCCACCAAATGGTTTCATTTGTAAATACTTTCTGCTTATCAGGTTACTTAATGACACCATTTCAACTGCAGATTTAATACAGCATCAGGGAGGAGGACGAAAAAATATTTCAAGGAGACAGTCATGGTAACTTTCAAAAGTCAATGGGAAAGCCACAGAAAACCTAACTCTGGACAGTGGCAGAGAGGCAGGTGTTCTCGGAGTACTTCGGTTTCCCTTGCCAACTCTCATTCCACCAGCTGCTCCATACTCATATTTATTATCTCCCTCCCTTGCATTGACTTTAATCTTACATTACAAATCAGTCGTTTACATTCCCTACAGAACGGACAATACTTTAAGATGAGGCACCGACTAAACAGTAAGTAATATATACTATATCTTCAATAGGAAAATCAGTTATTGATTATCACAAAATTTAATACTATCACTTTAATATCATTTTCAGATTAACATTAATTTACTACATCTACAACACGAGCCTCCTATACAATCTTATATACAAAATAAAAATATAGAATATTCCAATTTGTCCATGGGAACACAACAAAATTACAAAACCAACAACTGATTCGATGATATAAAACATCAATTTAAAATTTTATTCTTGTTTTATATAATCTGATTTATTGTATGTTTTACATCAAGTGTTTTATGTGATTAATAGTACTGTATCCAATTTAATAGTACTGCAGTTCAGTGGTGTATATATGTTAACCATGTATTTGCCTGATCATGGCTACTGATAGCCGAAACATGTAGCAGAGCCATAGCTAGGCACTGATCTTGATATTTGTTGTGTTGTGACAGTTAATAAAGTTATTATCTGGGGGTGGTACAACAGGCACATTAGTGGCTTACGTGCCTAGTGGACCCAGTGTCACCCCACCTCACAAAAAGAAAACAACTAACTGAAGCTTTGGGGTGTCTGGAAACCACTTTTTACTCTATTCAAACTATAGATGTGCAAAACAATGGAAAAAAGGACAGTGTATTTCAAAAGCTAACACAGCAAGACGTGTTTCTTTTTATTTTTAAAGATGGAATAGTCTATGATGTTACAGATATGCCATGAATGCCTAATTGACATGTTCAAATATTCATATACCTTTGCAAATCTAGTACAAAAATAAGGCACTATGTCAGTATGGAGTACATCAATAGCATGCTATTCTCCACATTCAATGCAATGAAATAATTCAAAGGCAATGTATAGACGGCAGACATGTAAAGATTAAGAATGTTCTGAAACTACTTCTTCACTTATTGCAGCAGATTCATAAATATGTATGATGTGGCAATTCAAATTATCTGTTGAATACAAAGCAGTTACACATGGGGCTGAGCAGTCCTTCTCGAGAAGCCGCCAATCGTGCAGCTACTCAAGAACTTCTCAGTATTTATGGAATCCGAAGGTTCATTATCGTGTTCACAAGAGCCCTCCATTAGTCCATATCTTGAGCTGGATCAACCCAATCCATATCATCATAGTGCACTACTGACAAAACTAAACTTCTACAGATTTCAATTCACTTCCACTTACCTGATTTGAGACACTTCAAATATATTTCACCACAATTTTTTAAACAGTCCCATAAATGCCATGTTACAAATGTGTTCCTTCTGACTCACCTGTTACCAGACACATCAAGTACATGAAGTTCCAAACAGCTTCCCACTTCTGATGGCAGATATTGAAGTTTGTTATCCCTCAGAGACAGAACGCCAAGCTGTGATAAATAGCCTAAAAACAGCAAACAAATTAATATTAATACTGGCCAGCTGGTTAGTTGGCTGAATATTTAAAAGTGCTGTCAGTATTGCGGCTACATAGTGTTAATATGATAATTAATGAAGGTGGAACAGCTGGTGGAATAAGAAATGGCAGGGGAAAGCAAAGTACTTGCAGAGAACCTGCCCCAGTGCCATGTTTTCCTGAAATACAGATCCCAGTACCAGCAATTATGAGATTCTGAGACAAAAGTATAACTACGTTAATGCTATCAAGTGCAAAATTAGCTGTGGCACAAGACACATGGTTTATTTTCTTAAGTAATTTAACAATGTTGTACCAACTGTAAAGACTATTTGGCATTAACAGAAAAGGAGAATAACTGAGTGGTGAACAGTTAAACATGGGGAAAGTGATCACGACCTATTTTAATACATCTAACTGGAGCCCTTGATAAAATAGATAAAATGTTTCAGGGGTTTGCCCAAGGTTCATAACAGGAGCCTTCAGAACACAAGATGGGCAACTCAGTCTCCTCAGTGTCCAAGGCATGTGCTTGGTTGCCTATGTGACCACTGTCAATCATATAAATCTGTATATATTACTGTCACTTTCTCTAGTAGATGATTTCAGAATGCAATGATATGCCCAGAATAAAAACGAACATCTCGGCTATGAACATTCATATCAATCTCCAAATATGAATGGAACTGTTTTTATCCAAACAAAACACACATATAGCAGACAATAAAAGACAACTTAAATTAATAAATGTGTTGGTTCACTTTAGAAGAATGTGAAACATTATGCACAACACATATAAGCATTGGATAGAATTGCAAATAAATGAGGTGATCAGCAAAATTTTAAAATAAATAAACTGCTATAATTTTATGGGTTCCAGGAAGTGACAGCTTCACATAAATGGTGAAGTCTCCATAAAGCAGTGAATGTTTTAAGCTGAACCTCGAACTCTGAACTATATGACACTAACTAGAGGACAGCTGATTTATAACCATGCCTTGGTGCTGTTAAAATTCTGAGTAGCTCCATAACAATACGATGTCACAGATATCTACAAAACTCCAGATACAATTGCATTTTCTTTCACTGTTATAAGGGGATCAAATATGTGGTTTCTGTTTAATCAATTACAAAAGTACAAGTTCAAGGAGGTCACTGATGTTCCTTGGTTTCTTTAATGACATTTTGTCAATTCTGGAGCTTGCACAATGGTTACTGTGAATTTTTAACCTAGCAGGATGTGAAAGGTAGCAACCACAATCTATTTTAACCCATAAAATTTGCCTAAGATGAAGGAAAACCACATAAAAAACCAGCCTGAATAGTGAGCCACCAGACCAAGAATCAAACTTGAGTGCAACCGATAACAAAGCAGGAAGGCTAACAGCTATATTGCAACATATTGTTGCACTTTTACACAATTACAAGGACGATCATCACTAATTCACTGTTATAATCACGTTTTGCAACACCAATTTCCATGAAGACTTCTATTCCCTTCCTCTGGTGTGAGCTGGCTTCTGCTCTTCTTGCGGCACTACACTAAGAACTGCACTTATAACGTCTTCTTCACCTTCACTCGCTACAACTGACCTCGGCGACTGCTAGACTTCCACTACACCGAATGCTCCGAATACTAATTGGCTTCACCAGCTGCTGCATTTCAACTACCTCCTTATGCATTCCAGTCTCCCTTATAAACCCTCAGTCAGACAGTGGAAAACTCACCTTGTTTCACTGTTGTGTAAATACCATGTTTACAGGTGTTACTGGGCAACGCTGCCGAGAGATGTTTATTGCTGTGTAGCAACCAGCACTTTGGCTCGGTAATCGACCATTTATCCAGAGTCTGTCTTCATGGTAACTCATTCCACCTCCCGTTGCCCAGCAACAGCTAGACATGTCACAATATGATGAATGATACTGTCACATATTTAGTGACTAAACACAAGGTTTTGATTGGTAATATGATTTATAGAACTATTACAAATCATAATTACAAACAATTATAGCACTTCTGATAACTCAGGCACTGAACTTTTCACTACAGTACATGTTAGTTCTTCTCTGTTCATCTTCACTAACTGTTTCTAGGCTACAAATCCCAACAGAGTAGATTCCTCGGCTTCCATGTTCAACAGCTCCTGTCCTTGCTGGTTGGTGACTCTCATAGCTAACCCATGATGGCAACTCCCTTACATTCTCAACTGACATAGTTGTCTATTTCGTCTTCACTCTATATCCTTGGGTTGGCACCAATAGAAACAATGTTTCCAACAGTTCCTCTGTTGTTGCATTCATATCTTCTGCCAAGAAAACCAGATATCATATGTTGTTTACCAACCTTTGCCTAGCAATGGATGTCTTTTATGGCTCTGTTATTCTGGTTTGCATCCATCACATCACAGTATATTGCAGAAAGTAGTTATCAACCCAATATTCACCTGGATGGACTGAGGAATGCCAGGAAAAACCTGTTATAATAACCAGTCCACACCTATGATTAAACAGTATACCTCACAAATGTATTGTAACGTGTTTTAGTGACTGAAGACGCCATTCAGATTGTTAATTGGTTTATTTAACAACCTACAAGTCTTGGATACAATTAATAACAACAATGTTACGGGTTTACACACTTTACAAACCCTACAAACAAATCTCTTCACACTGTCCTCAGTAGTTTACATGTATTCACAGTACGATACGGGAGCTATTCATGTGTCACTGTATCACACACTCCCAATACCTTCTCAGTGATCACGAACTATCACTGATTATCACACACATGTCCGGTTCTTCTTTCCGCGACTGCTGCTATACTCCAACTCACTCCGTGGCTGCTGCCTTGAAAACTCACTTCGGCTGCTGCTACACTTTAAACTCTTCATAGGCAGTGTAGTTCTCTTATAAACCCTCAGCTGGACAACAGGAAACGCCTTGCTTCCTTGTTGCCTAGTCGCCGTGTTTGCCTGTTACNTACGTACATACACAAAAGAAGAACAATGTTCTGTAATTCATTTTTTGATCAGTGAAGGTGTGAAACTGACTGAAGTTCATCGACGGATGAAGGTTCAGTATGGTGATGCATGTTTATCACAGCAGCAAGTGTACAAATGGAGTAGGAAATTCAGAAATGGTGTGACGTCTGTGGCAGATGCTCCTCACCCAAGTCAGGTGCACAGAGTTGTGACCCATGAGTCTACTGCAGCAGTTGAAGCCCTAGTGATGGAGAATCGCCGAAGGGCGGGGGATGAAATAGCCGAAATTCTTAACATGAGTCACAGATCAGAACACCACGCCATTCCTGTTGTGCTCCAGTTTCACAAAGTGTCTGCAAGGTGGGTGCCATGGCAGCTGACTCCAGAATTGAGAAAATGATGTGTTGACGCTGTGAAGAACTTCTGTGGTGCCTTGAAGCAGGTGATGGCTTCCTTTTGAGAATCATTACTGGCAATGAAACTTGGGTGCACTGCCACCAACTAGAAACTAAGAGAATGAGCAAGGAATGGTGTCATTCCTCATCACCAAAACCCAAGAAGTTCCGGACACAGACATCTGCTGGGAAGATTATGCTGACTCTCTTTTGGGACGAACAAGGCATACTCTTGGAGCACTAGACGCCTTGGGGGGAACACTATCACCAGTGCCTCATATTCAGATCTCTTGAAGAATCATCTTCGATCTGCAGTCAGATCACAGCGATGTTGACTTTTGACTAGAGATGTCCTTTTGCAACATGACAATGCTCGACCCCATACTGCCCATGGAGCAGTTGCAACAATCCAAGACTTGCACTTTGAGTGTCTTCCACATCTGCCATACTCACCAGGCCTAGCCCCAAGTGATTACATGTTTGGGCCACTCAAAGAGGCAATGGGAGGAAAGAAGTTCCGTTCTCATGAAGAGGTACAGCAGGCAGTGCATTAGTGGTTGCGCAGACAACCAAAAGATTTCTTTTTCTAGAGGAATCCATTTACTTACTTATTCATGCAGCTCAGCCCTTCTGGAGGAGCCGCCAATTCTGCAGCTACTCAAGAATTTCCCAGCATTTTATGGAACCCAAAGGTTCAGTACCGTGTTCACAAGAGCCCTCCACTGGTCCCTATCCTACACTTTGTAAACACTGGAGGGCCTGTATTGAACGAAATGGAGACTGTGTAGAAAAATGATATAGTTGTGTACCGCTTTCATTCAGTAAATTAAATTTAAAATTTTTTTTACGGTTTTCATTTGACACACCCTCGTAATTCAAACACATTATTATTTCCTAACTCAGTTTGTCATTTCTATTCTTCTTCTCATGAAAACAGTAACATTACAGTAAAAATCCCTAAAAGGAAACAAAGTATCTTATAAATTTACAAAGTATACAAAACATACAAACCTATCTCCTCTGGCAAAGCCTGCAAGTTATTTCTGTCTGCATTAAGGTTGGTTAATTTCACAAGCTTTCCAATTGATACTGGCAGTTCCATCAGGAAGTTCTCTGTAAGTATCAGTTCCTGCAAGTTCTCACACCTAAATAAATCAAGAAGACACATATCATTCATGTTCCCTTCAATATAACTAAAATTAATCCTTTCAACATTATAATCCCTGGCAGTAGCCACATGGATGACTGCACAATTAAGCTGACTATGTGACACTATGTAGTCTCATAGTTCATTACTCATGTGTCAAAAATTCACATAGCCTCTATCTTCACTGCCAATCATTCTATCTTCTACTTGGAAGATGAAGGCAGCACATTTCTCCGAAGTGTTAGTACACTACCAGGCTATGCCACAACATCTCCATAGCTACTGCCATGAGAACCTCAACCTTTGCTACTGTTCAACTGTCAATTTCCTCATTTGTCACAGATGCTTGCAAAAGAAATGAAATTGAGAGGAATATGAAAGGGAGGAAAAGCAATCCATCTTGGTTGCAAAGGCACATTACATGTGGCATAAAAAAACAATTTTGTCTCTAAATTACACATTAAAATAAATGTCACACAGTGCTGAGGGCACAGTGCCAGAATATGTACTACGGCTAAAACTGAAAAGGTCAATATTACAAATTTATGCAATTTCACTTGCAGATACTTACTTGCCAATGTTTGGATTCAAGATTGCCAGCCTGTTCTGATCCACTTTCAGAATTGTTAACTTCTGAAGGTTTCCCAACCCATCGGGTAGAGATTCTATTACATTCTGAGACAAATGAAGGTCAGTGAGGCTTGCAAGGCCTCCAATCTCATCTGGAAGGTCTTCCAACCGATTCTCAGAGATGTCCAGGCAAGCCAATTTCTTTAGGTTGCCAATTTCCTATAACATGTTAAAAGCAATAATTTGCAGCTACTCACATACCAAATATATGTTCCAAGCTAAACCACAATCTCAGCACTGACAAGAAATACAGATGAAAATTTTACTGTAGAAGCAATGGGTCAGGTCAGACTGGGTCAGATCAGGTTTGGTTGCATCAGATAAGGCTGGATGAGTCAGGTTGGGTTTGGTTGCATCAGATAAGGCTGGGTGAGTCAGGCTGGGTTTGGTCACACTGTGTTTGGTTGGGTTGGGCTGAGTCAGGTCAGATTGGATTTCTTCCTGTAAGGTCATGTTGGATGGCTTGGACCACTTCTCTGCAACCAGCACTTGAATAAATTCATTTTAATCCAGAAAGAAACACAATTAGACATCAGAAAGTTCTTCCATAACAAAACAAGACAAAAAATGCAGACAAACATCAAAACCCCATTAAGGGATCCAAACTTTCAACCAGCCTCGAACAACACTTTTCTTTAACTGTCCACACATCAAGATCAACTTAAGAAATTAAAACTAAGATTATTCCAGCCACTATCAGTTTGTCCATAAAGCATCTTTATTATATTATTGATCAGAACTGACTATGTACAGGTATTCACACATAATCCAATGCATGAACTATTGCTTACAGGAGGTAGATGCTGAAGTTGATTGTGGTCCAACCAAAGTTCCTGAAGTGATGGAAGATTCCCTATATGGTGAGGCTGCAAAAATACAAATCAAAGACACTTAAATTCCATAACTGCAGCCTATTAACAGGTGGGGGGGGGGGGGAGACACTCTCTAAAGTGCATACCCTCCCTATGCACGTATGCAAAGTTTCAGCTTTCTCGGTTCCCTAGTTTGATTAGAGCATGAAAACACAAACCCACATGAATTATCTTTTATTTTTGTAACAGATATAGCAAAGTAAGCTGAAACAAAAGGATAAAAAACCAAAGTTCATTTTCAGTACTTGCACTTTCTGGGTAGCAGATACAATGTCATGGTTTGGCTGCCAAAGTCTCAAGCTTACTAATGGTGTCTTCAACCACTTTACTCACCAATTCCTCTATCTCATTGTCCCCAAGATCTAGCCTCTCAAGCTTGGACAATTGAGACAAAGACTCTGGTAGGGACTTAAGCAGGTTCTCACGTAATTCCAGGGATTGTAGATTTGTAAGACTAAAACAAAACATGGACAGTATGCATCACAACTGGAAGGATTAACTAATCTAAATAATGGCAATTGACATTCCACATTCGGTTTTTGCTACTGACAAGAACGTGACATATATTAGCATTCAACCACCATAAATTCAAAATTCAGCATATTATTAGATGGTATATTGTCTTCATTCATTATATACATGTTCATATAAGACGATGATGTTATAAACTGGTTCCATTAACTGTCTGACATGGATATTTGGAATTTGCTGGCGATTTTGGTCAAAGAACTAAATTACAAAATTATGAAAATCCATTCATAACATGTAATGATAAATCAATAACTGAAATTAACATCTCACTCTGTGGAATCAGAGATATGCTGAAAACATATTTCTATGTAATTTTAAGAACTAAGCCAAAAACATTAATGTCACACAAGAAGTTCACCATCAAGCACTCATCCCAGTCAACCTTCTGAAACATTTCACCTACCGTGAAACGTTTCATCAATCTAAGTTGAGAATCAAGTGGTATATGGTGATTTGAACCAGTTTCTTTGAAAACTCAAACAGGTTAGATTAGACAAAAGTTAATTTAAGGATGTTACATTACAAATTACAGTGACCTTTAAAAAATAACAGAAGCACAGACTCTGATATGTCACTGTACCACACGTGTTTGTAGATATCAGCAATGAATATTCCGTGTGTGTATCAAACTCAGTTTAACATATGTGTCATATGTTCAAATAAACATAAATCAAAAAGATCAGTTCATTCTTAAATACAGCCGGGGAAAAAAAAACTCCATGGCCTGTAGTCCACAAGCAAACTATATCAGCCAAGCGACCTCTGGTTGTCGGCGAAGTTAGTGCCAACTTTTGCGGATAGAGAGTGTCAAGTGGTCAGTGCAACAGATGCCCACAGCCACTAATCTCGTTTTTATAGACCGGAACCGCTATTTCCTTGAAATAGCTCCTCAATTATCCTCACGAGGCTAGCGGACCCTGTTCCAGAACCACTTCTTCTCAGAAAATCTGGTAACTCCAGGGACCTATGGATCTGTAGCCAGGAACTCTGAGCACTAAACCACAGAGGCGGTCTCATTCTTAAATAGAGTCCAAAATTTGAAAAATAAAATTATACTCTAATACAGTGAGATAGCATTTTATGCGAATTTGAAACAGTGTGATATGAAAAATATGAACAAAGTCCCACTTCGTGTGCAAAGTCTGAAATAATGTGAACCTCCAAAAAATTTGGTAATACATTTATTTCTATGTGAAAACTTGTCTTCAATTATGTGAACATGTCCTTGGCATAAAATGCGACCACAATGTAACAAACTGAGTGTGCTACATTGAAAGCTCAAACATGAAACTTCAACTGAACCTTCCAGGCTGCCACAAGTTCAAATGAATAGATCTTACAGTGATTCTAACAAAATCAACAACAAATTTTAATAGTACAATTACTCTGACACATTCAAAATTATTACATGGTAAACTGGACATGCTGTGGTAAGGCACAAGTCACAATAACCTGATTTCAGAGGAATACGTTACCTTCCAAAGTCAGGTGGGAGATTGGTGAGGGACATGTCATTAAGACCTAATACTGTCAGGTTACGAAGCTGCACAAAGCCAGGGGGTAACCTGCAAATAAGAACATGATATACTTTTATATATTCCTCCTACCAAGAACACAAACAAACAGCTCAGTTGAACAGATAGCACTCCTGCTTAATATTCAAGGATCCTGGATATAAATCTGAAGCCACAGACCAGCTATCTGACTGATGACTTTTGCAGTTATCCTACAGGCAAATTCCAGGACCACAGCCACTGCCTTCCATATTCTTTCCAATCCACTATTCAGCATATCATTCAGTGTCACACATCCTCAGCTAATACCATCACTTTATAAACCATCAACAAATACATAAAATCAAAGCTCCAAGAATAAATCATAAACAAATGAATGAAATCAATGATCCAAGACAATCTGTGCACAGAAAAGGGGATCATGCACACACTACTCATTTCCTTTCAATGCATTTTCGTGTTGAAGAGTTTTATGTTTTGAGGTATAACACCTCAAATGGCATTTTGGAAGAACATATCACCTCCATCTTCAGTACCGCAGAACAGAGAAACCAGCATGAAATCAGGTGGCAAAAGAACTCAAATCCTACATTTTAGTGTTACTTTAATAAGAACACCATATTTCTCAGATCTTTATCACAAATATTTAATATTAAAACCTGTATTTCATATCTGCATGACCCAGAAGGAAAGACACCACTAGGAAAACCCTGAAGTGGGTGGAAGGATAATATTAAAATGGATCTTATGAGATATAGGATGGGGGTGGTATGGACTGGATTGATCTGGCTCAAGACAGAGACCAGTGGATGGCTCTTGTGAACATAGTAATGAACAGCTGGGTTCCATAAAATGTTAAATTCTTAAGCAGCTACACAACTAGTTGCTTCTCAAGAAGGGCTCAGCTCCATGGAGTTAGTGTTCTTCATATCTGACATGGTACATACCTACCCACTTTAACTTCCCTGATTTGGTTATCCCAACATTAGAAGACGAAAACTAAAAATAAAGAAATTCTTCCTTTTCTCCTCTAGTACTACAGGGCAAATCTGGTCTTCTAAATCCCTAACAAACATTCATGCACCTGGTTAGATTCAAACCAGCAAACTCTTTGGACGAAAAGCCAAGAGTGAGCACACTTTAAACTGTGCAATCAGCAGATTTGTTGCCATTTTCTTCATTCATCCTTTCCTGTCCATGCCACGTCTTCATGTACACCTGATTTGTTCTCTCACTTCAAAAAGTGACTAGTACAACAATGACATCTCAGGTGATCAGCTGCGTGAAAATAGAGTTGTATCCTTTGTTTCAGAAACTGTCTTTGGCTCCACTGTCAGTGGTCGATGGGATGAGTGACACAGCTTTCTCTCTCTCTCTCTCTCTCTCACACACACACACACACACATGCTCTTGGAGCCCACTGTTCTGTCCAGGCAAGAATCAGGGAGCATTGTGTCAAGTCTGGTGGTCAGTCATTGTGCCCCAAGTGTGTTGCTTAATCTTCTGGAGGCCACTGAGAACTGGCTACAACCTAGCAACTTCAAGAGGATTATGGGGTTCACCTAAATTCAGGCCTGGTACCCAACTATAAACATGTTCCAACATACAACGGCTTGCATAAAATAATGGAAGGAAGGGGAAAGAGCAGCCAGGATCCTAGAATGCCCAGAATACCTGTACTGCTGCAATATTCCACTGAAGTTGAACTGCTGTATCATGCAACATTTGGCTCTAGTCCACATCGAGAAATAACCTTCTCCAATCGCATCATTCAACCTCATTCACTATATATGAAAATGCGTTTCTGTTACTTTTTTTTCCACCTTTACCAATTGCTTTAAAAAGGTGAGAAACAAGACACAGTAAAAGGGTTAAGCAACATAGTCTGGCCACTAGATTCCACCCACCATTCCCAAAGTGGGCTCTTATGGGACAGGACAGCTCTGATTCCAGAACAAATGTGTATACAAGCAGTAGACAGTTGTACTCATACATCATTCATCACATCTACCTCCAATGGTGGAACAGATACCATATATGGAACGCTGAATATCACCTCCATTTAACAGCTGATTGCCTGAGAAGACTTAGTTGCCAACAGTAGGCAGGAAAACTTCACACCCTATAAAGTTGTACATGGTGCCTAGCAACAGAAAACATTACACTGCACACAGTGACCTTTTATTTTAGAGGATAATGGGATAAAATAACCGCCAGATTTTGGGGGTAATAACGATGATGACAATTTCTGCAATTCCACCTGCTCATATTTTCATAATGACCTCGTACCTTCACCGTGTAACATACTTCAGTTGCTATTTCTTTACTTCTACTATATTCTTAGTTTTCAGTAGATGTCATATTACATTAGGTTTCTGAAAACCCACTGACGCGACTAGTCGCGAGCGGCTACCCGCTCTTTGTCGCGCGCGTCCGTTAGTCGTACATATTAGGCGTGCGGCAGCTCTGCCGCCTGTGTGCCGCGTTCCAAAACTTAACCGCGCGCGGCTCATAAAAGCAATACAAATAACGGCCGCGAGTGACAACACGCGACAAACCGCGCGCGGCTTGTCGCGTCAGTGGGTTTTCACCCTCTGTCTTGTAAACTTACTCAAAAGAATGACCCAAGAAATCTCATGCGCGCAGCCTCTGTTCTTCTCATTCTCTCTTCCCCATAAACCACGTTCTACTTCTACACTATGCCTACATTAAGGACACATTACATAGGATCTTAAGGAAACAGTGTGTCAGTTTGTGGGCTGAATCCAGCTGTCTTAACACAGAGTACAAGAGCATACTTCTGTAAACATGGTATTGATCCTTCAGGTGTTACAAATCCTAGAGACGTTCTTGGCCAGCAAAGCTACTGTCAGTTGCTGAAGAACTCTGCTCCGTATACTTAGTTATTTCACTTGAAAATGTTTCATGGCATATGATAAGACACAAATTTCTTAATGTGATTTCTACTCACAAAAACCTAAAGGTAAAGCTATCCTTACAACAGGCCATGAAGGCCAATAGGGTTGCGAGATGTCGAGGCTCCCACATTTTCTCCAGACAATCGGCTCACAAGTGGTGGTAAGGTTGTCAGCCTTACTCGCTGGTCGCCCTTTACCCCACAGGATGATTCCTGGTATTCACTTCGGTTAGAGGCTGAGTCGACGCCAGGGCCATAGTGCGGATGGAAGGATTAGGTAAATTGAAACAATCCATCTCAAGGAGACTCGAACCCGCGACCTTCCGACTTGTAACATAGTGCCTCAACCAACTACGATACCACATGCGCCCCCCTTGCTCACAGAATAACATAAATAATATTATTTATTAATGGTTTACTCAGCGTCAGTTACTGAGATTAGGTAGTGTTGGATGGTAGCAGTAGTGAATAATGGATTGTAAAAGATATGAATGGAAGTGGTTGTGGCCCAATTCCAGGTTCTATACTAGTACTCCCTTAGAGGGGCTGAAGGAAGCCGTGAAAAACATCAATCAGCATAGTTGGCATACCGAGATTCAAACTGGGCACCTTCTTAACGAAAGTCAGAAGTGCTACTAACTGAGAGTAAATAATACTGCTTTGCCTTCTTTCCCAAATGTGCATACCTGGGGATGGGGTTGCTGCTAAAATCTGCCACTTGCAGAGATCGTAGGTTCTTGATATTCTCTGGAATGTCAGGAATGTCTGTAACAAACAGAGGACTGCATCAAAATAAAACCGGAACAACTGAACCTGAATGGTTCTTCTAGCATCTTATACATTCTGATAAACCATTACAATCAGACCAGGCTAGTGAACTACCTGGACTGCAAACTGCTATTTGATCTTCCTACATATCAGAAAATATCACTTGCAGAATCCTTCAACATTTTCAGTAAACAGGTGACAAAGCTCAAGATGTAAGCACTATTTGGTACTGGAACTCGTTACACGACCGTTTCATAACCTTCAGGAAAACAATTTCCACATAAGTACACGAAGTTCTGGGAGTGACTAGCGAGCTACTTTCCTTGATACCACATGTACCTCATAGAAAATGTGTCCAACAGTTCTTCTATTGTTGCGTATTCGTTGCAGCGGTAACGGTTTTTACCGAGACGTTGCCTAGCAGCGAGAAGGGGAAACACATAGACACACAGATTGATGGGCGGAATTTATGAAGTACGACACTGAGATGGGCTCAGGTGCCATGACATACATACCAAGTTTCACAAAAATTGGTTCAGCCAATAAAAAGTTGATGGCCGGGGGGGGGGGGCCAAAAATAGCAAAGAGATGGTATAAGCCTACGTGTTTTCAAAATAAGGAAAGCAAAGTAACAGAGTATCGACCCTGAATTCTCTTTTCCCAAGTATGTTATTGGTATGGTTATCTAAAAACTCTGCATTCTTTCGAGAATGTATTTAGTGGTTTCGTATGATTAAGATAAAAAAAAAATATTATTCACCGTTGTGAGACCCTCAAATCTAGTGAATAAAGAAACCTACCATTGTCTGTTTCTGTGAACCTCTTAATCGTTTTGGAATTTCCAAACCACATGGGGTGCGGGTGGGGGAGGGGGCGGATTATGATACACATACGCTTTATTTCAGTGCATAATGCAGAGCTGCCAATGTAACTGGGCCAAAACAATATGAAAATCCTCCCTGCCGAAAGAACTGGCAACGGCGAGCCGGCGTGGGAAGAGGTCTAGATGGAGGGTGAATGGCCCTCGCCACTGGTTCTGCAGGTTACTGCTCGCAGATCAGTGATGAGCACCTCTACGCCAGCCGAACCGGTTACACTCGGAACGCATCCACCACTTACATCAGTACGTTCGCATTGATTCTAGGAGTGAGAGGCTTCCTGAAAGCCGGGACGAAGACCATAAATTCTCAGTCAACATCAGAACACAACCTTAATATAGAGATCGCATCCACCATTTTCACTAGGAAAAAAGTTAAAGTTGTCCCTGTGCTTATTAACTAAGCACTACGTCACGAAGGCGTATGGGGCAGTGGACGTATAGATCCACATCTTCTTCACCTCGGCACTAGTTGGAGTTGAGTGGTCAGATCCACGCCCCGGCCACATTAACCCCGAGAAAAAGACCCCGGTACCCATTGTATAGGAGGATGGGTGAACCCCAGAGCCGGTCTGGAAGACATGGAGAAGTGAAAATTCTTGACCCTACCCGGACTCGAACTCCGACATCTCGGTCGTCAAGCCCGTAACCAGTCGCTATACCGACTGTGCTATCCCGGTACCACAGCTTTAACTAGTACTCTTCTATTTATTTGCTCAAGGAACTGGAAAATTCCTGAAACCTATAATAAAGACCATAAATTCCGAAGTTCAAGAAAAGGTCATACTATATATATATCAAACGATAGAGTTCGTATGAAACATATCCGTTGATACTCAAACAGTGGTTCACAAATAAAGTAAAGGTAAAACTATCACTGTAATAGGCCGTGATGGCCATTGGGTTCCGAGAAGTCCAGATTCCCACATTTTCTCTAGACAACCGGCTCACAGATGGCGGTAAGGTTGTCAGCCTTACGTGCCGGCCGCCCTTTACCTCCCAGGAAGATTTCTGGTAGTCAATTCTGTTAAGAGGCTGAGTCGACTCCAGGGACATAGTGCGGCTGGAAGGATTAGATAAACTGAAAATATGGGACTCTAACCCGCGATCTTCCGGCCTGTACGAGTATAGTGCAGCAACCAATTACGCTACCGCGTGTCCCGGTTCACGAATAAGAGATATGCGAAATATTTCATTCTGATACTAGTGGAGTATGCGGCAGGCTGCTCCGAAAACTCCAACTGTTTTCACAATTTCGACACAAGACCCACAGAAGACACTACAATGAATACACACACATCAGAGTATCCGGTCTGTCTTACACCCAGCATATAGTGCCTTTACGTGTTTCGGTCAGTTGTGACCATCTTCAGAAGGCAATAACATGTTAAAGATCTACTATTACACATATCATAGTACATAAGCTAATAGTCTTGTATAAAAGGTGTGTAAGATAAAAATATATTATTAAGGTTCCTAATACGCGTGGTTCTGTATGGGTGTGAAACTTGGTCTCTGACATTAAGGGAGGAACACAGACTGAGGGTGTTTGAGAACAGGGTGTTGAGAATATTTGGACTGAAGAGAGATGAAGTGATTGGAGGTTTGAGAAAACTGCATAATGAGGAGCTTCATAACTTGTACCATTCGCCAAGTATAATTAGAGTGATCAAGTGGAGGAGGATGCGATGGGCAGTTCATGTAGCACGAATGTGGGAGAAGATGAATGCATATGGGATATCGGTGGGAAAGCCAGGAGGAAAGAGATCACTGGGAACACCAAGACGTAGGTGGGTGGACAATATTAAAATGGATTTTAGAGAGATATGATGGGATGGTAAGGATTGGATCAATCTGGCTCAGGGTAAAGACCAGTGGGGGGCTCTTGTGAACACGGTAATGAACCTTCGGGTTCCGTAAAATGCTGGGAAATTCTTGAGTGGCTGCAGAATTAGCGGCTTCTCAAGAAGGGCTCAGCTCCATGAGTGAGTAAGTAATTATTGTTCTTAATATTTAAAATCTTGAACCGCTGAGGTTTGTGTCTCCGTGCCTCTTCCGTGAAAACGGGAGACTGAGGTGTTATTTACCATACTCTGAGATCCGAGCAGCGTTGTTACCCTCCCTTTTTATAATATGATAGTTAACGATCTATGTTGTTGATGATGATGTTTCTCCTTCGTTGTGTAATGAGGCATACTGAGTCACATTGGACGGTGTTGTCAACTCATTTTATAATAATTAACCATTGTGACGGACCAAAATTGATAAAGTTAAATCCGGTCTGCCCGTTTCTTTGTTTATTATCTACGTTTTATCAGCGGCAAAGTTTAAACAGTACCTCAGAAGCAACACCAGAATACCGACCTTGGAATAACGTGGAAGTGCGCAGCCAAGTCTATTTCAAGGTACTGCCTGGCATTCACCTGAGGGCCTGAGAAACACCACGAATAATTTTGGTCAAAATAGTTCCTCACCCTGTCCGAAATGCTTTCCCGACTGTAAAGGTACATTGTGGCTAGTAGCGGAAAATTTCGTGACGAATTGTGGAAAATTAATGGTGATTTCGTTGCCGGGATTTGAATTTCTGCAACTGAGCCACTGCCTTGAAACATGTCCTTTCATCTCAGTCCCCACACTGAGGTTCAAGAACCCTCTGAGGGAACGGAAAATACCAGTATTTCAAGCAGAAGGGGGTCATCAAAAAATAACGTTAAAGGTAAAGTTGATCCTCCGCTTAATTTAGAGCCACGCCACGAAGACGTATGGAGAAGTGGAGGCACAGCACCGCCATTCTTGACCCCGGCACTAGATGGAGTTGAGTGATCCAGCTTCACGCCCTGGCCTCTGTACACCCAGAGCAAGAATGCCCGGTACCCATTGCACAGGAAGTTGAGTGGGCCCCAGAAGCGCTCTGGGTGCTGTGGAGTAAAGTAAAATCTCTTGCCCCTGCCGGGAATTGAATCCCTATTATTGAAAAACAGATTCACGCAAAAATCTTTTGGCTTATATGTCTGGTGACACCTGTTCTGGATAAAATCTTGTACGATTACACAGTTAACATCTAAGAGTTATTCTAACTATGTACCATACTTGGAGAAGTGAAATCATTGGTGACTCATCGCTGAAAACTTTGTTGCCTGGAGAAACGACGGGTATAGTGGGTGTGTGGAAGGAGAAAAAGGGATCCGTTCTCGTGGAAAGAATTTAGGTGGAGTTTTTCCATATTCTGATTCTCCCTAGAACAGATTCCGGTGGGAACTGCCTTATATTTACATTTCACTAGATCAAACAACAGATTTCAGTAGCATCGATCAAAGGAGAGCATAGGCCCGGACACGCCGAATGCTGAGACCTTACACACATATTCATCTCGTAATATCGTCCCATTTTCGTCCAGGTCGTTCAGACAGGCTTTTCCCTTTGAGGTTTCCGGTCCAAGATTTTGCATGCATTACTCACTCACCCACGAGGGTCATCATGTCTCACCCATCTCATCCTCCTTGATTGAAATTCTGCATCCTACTGTTACTTCTTTCTTATGTTCAAATAATCTTGGCCTTATCTTCTCAAACACTCTCAATTCACGTTCTTCCCGTACTAAACAGGAACAGGTGCTTCTGTACATTTTAATTTTAAGGGTGTTAGGAACACAACGGCCAAAACATAAAGAGCTGAAGGTATGTTCAAATTCAGAGTAAATTTCATAACAAGAGTTCTATCTTCTGGGATAGCCGTGTATTTCGGTGGAAGTAAACCGACATTTCGGAGAAACACGTCTTCACGGTCTTTGACCTTAAAGATGGAAGCAATATATTCGGCCTACACTTCGTTTGACTTCCACCGGACTAAACGTGTCATGTTCCCGAAGACAGAACTCTTCATAACCAGCCCTATGAGAATCTTAAATACCGCACAGAGTTTGTATGTTCTGATGTTTACAAAACTTATCATTAATACAAGGATTTCAGTACGTGTTTGTGCATTTAATAACAATTCAGAAAATGTAGTAACAGGAGTGACATCTTTTTTAGCCGTTTCGCCATCCCGTCGGCTTGTGTTGCTGTTTATCAAACTTTTGCTGCCTCGACATCAAACTACTGTCAGCAAATGTCCATTGTTT